TAAGAATATAATAAATATATTTTAAAAATATATTAATCATATTATAATTATATTGTAAAAATATTTTATTTTTTCTGATTTTGGTAATTGATTGTTTTCATTAAAGTCATAATTTGGATAAATTTCTAAATAATACTGAACAAGAAATTTAATAATTTCAGGTGATAAGGTAATATCATGAAATGATCTAATAAAATGACCAGAAAACTGTTCTGAGCCAGTTACAATATAATCGATTAATCTACTAGACATTGCATGAAAATCTAACGTCTCTTGAACTGTAAAATTATAGTGACTCAAAGTTCTAGTTTTTTCAATATTAGTTTGAGTAATCAAATCTAAGGATGATAAGAAATTCTGAGACAAGTAATGATAGGCTTTTGCTTTAATTTGTTGAATATAAATTTGGTGATTAAAGTTTTTGAGCACTTCTAGTTCCATATTGCAGTTTGAATTAGAAAATGAACCAAGTTCTCTAAAAATAAAATTAAAAAAAAAATTAAAAAGTTAAAAATTAAAAAATTACAAAAATATTAAAAAAAAAATAATGCATACCTATTATAATGTTAGTAAGCAAAGCACCAGAATGAATACCACGGGCCATAATTTATTATGAATTCCCGTAAATATTTGTGCAAATGCATATTAGGAGAACAGAAATTTCTACTATAAATTTGTTTAACATATTGTAAAAATGCTATCATAGCTGCATGGCCAGCTTCAATTTCAACTTCTGTTATAATTCTCTGGCTCTATATCAATACTGCAGTAACAAATGCTTGCCAACATCGATAATCAGCCTCATTAAGAAATTGATATAAAACATATGTTGAATAAACCAGAACCCATATTTTTTATTGATCAGCTATAAGTGTATCAAAATCTGAGGCAATTTTAAAGTTTATACGTCTCATACCAACTGGTAAAGAAGTTAAATCGATTCGATTCTGAATTTCACGCAATTGTTTGATACCAAGTTTCGGTAAATTGTCATTCATCCATGCATGTTATACTATGTGCTTACTCATATCTAAGAATATATTGTGTATAGGATCAATCATAGTAAATCTAGGAATATCAATATATGACCCGCTTGTGAACGAAGTCACAAGGCGGTACATTATTGTGAGTCACTGGACTCTCCACGTGACAATAGGTCAC